AACATTCAACTTTCCCTTCCCCCCAAATTTCTCATTTTTTTAAAGATAGGTAAACTTTGCCCCCCTCACTGCATCTGATAATACACTGTTATTTATTGGTTTCACCTTTGCTGCGTTCCCTCTGTGGCCGTTTCCTTCCCAGTCCCCATAGCTCCCCACCCTCCAGCTCCTCCTCTACACAGGTTTGAAGGAAGTCGCACGTCCTTGCAGACGACCACAGTTCAGGGGGTTGTGTTTTACAGAGAATGAATGGATCTGAGAGAAGTTTCTAGTAGCAGTGAGCGGAAAAGTGGTTTTTGCTCTTCATTTTCAGTGTTTGTAAATATAGGCATTTTACAAAGCAGATATACTGCAGATGATAAACCCTTTCAGTTCTTTGCCCTTGCAGTTCAAGAGCTGGGCAACATCCACCCTCCTAGCTATATTTCACCGTGAATCGAGCAGTTATGAGGCATACGCAAAAAGTAATTTTTGTACCAAAAATTACTTTTAGTATTCAGTTTTATTGTCGCTCATAAAGCAAAATCTTCGCTGTCTTTCAATCCCGACTGTACAACATGCAAGTTGAGATTTCCTTAGGAGAGGGGCTTGTGCTGCTCTTAATGTACTTCGGGCTGTTCAGTTAAAGACCTTTTAGAGAATTAACGATCTAACTTTTAAATTACTGGGACTAAACATTTTAAAGTCCCATGAAATGCTGGGATTAATCATTTTTCTACAGCAACTTTGATTAAAAATGGGATTCTTAACTTCTCTATTGAAATAGAGTTTAGCAGAAGTGTGCTTTTAATTGTGTAGACTCAATACATTTTTATATTACCAAACTTCCCTGTAGATATTTGGGGTTTTTTTTATGACTGAAGAAAATGTGAGAGTTACTGCTTGTTATTTTTAGAAGAAAAGGCTATCTTTAGCATTTCCTTTTTCATTTTCAAATATACTAACATACCTGACTGTTCCCTGGAAGGCCAGATAATGAAACTGAAGCTCAAATACTCTGGCAACCAAATGAGAAGGGAGCACTCACTGATGCTGGGAAAGATTGAAGGTCAAAGAAGACGGGGACGGCAAAGGATGAGATGGTTAGACAGTGTCATCGATGCAACTAACATGAAATTGAGCAAACTTCAGAGGACGGCGGAAGACAGGAGGGCCTGGCGTGATCTGGTCCATGGGGTCGCGAAGATTCGGACTCGACTGGGCGACTGAACAACCTGAGATAAAATGGCTTAAAATACATGTGAGCAATGTTCCCTCTAACCTGTGGAGTCTTGTGAGCAAAAATCCTACTTTGTGAGCTACTGGCATTAAAGCTGTGAGCAATCGATTTGGCTACTGCATAAATCAGTTTGCTCTGGAGCCATCCTTCCTGAGCTGAGACAAAAATGT